AGTGAATGTATTTTACAGAGAAACTTTTATAGAGAAAACAAAAATAATAATGCACTTATAGAGAAAACAATTATAGAGAATGTTGTTTATAGAGAAAGTTTTATAGAGAAAGTTTTATAGAGAAAGTTTTATATAGAGAATGCACTTATAGAGAAAACAATTATAGAGAATGTCGTTTATAGAGAATAATTTTATAGAGAATGTCGTTTATAGAGAAAATTTTATAGAGAAAGTTTTATATAGAGAATGACATTTATAGAGAATGCACTTATAGAGAAAACAATTATAGAGAATGTCGTTTATAGATAATTTTATAGAGAATAATTTTACAGAGAATGATTTTACAGAGAATGATATATAGAATGATTTGATTTTACAGAGAATGATTTTACTGAGCTTAGCAATATATTCATTTCGAAATATCAAATAAATTTCTATTCATAAAAAATCCAAATAAACATAGTATAAATAATATATACCAATATACAATTATATGATTAAATTAAATTAAATTTAAATTATGAGATAAAGCCCTTAAATAATCCAGCATGGTTCTTGAATAAAAATCTTCAACAATTAGAAAAATCCTTTTGGATCTTTCGCGATATTCTTTCTTTGACAGCGGAGCCAATAGTTCTAAAGAATATTGTTCCAATTTGTAACAACTCAGGCTATCTTCGTCTTTGAGAGCTAAAAATTAAAATGCTAAAATTTATAATATAATATAATTACTAACTCTTTATAAATTTCCTGATCGTTGGATGATGGAAACTTATATGAGACGAAAAACTTCGATGCCAATCCTCTACTGAATTATTTGTATTCGGTTCACGAGATAGTGTCGATTCATAGCAATTCCATAAAGAAATGCTAAATATTGGCGACTTCCTCTCCATCGCTATCATTTTTCCAATCCACGTCTCTTCAAAGTATTTTATCAAGGGGGAGAGAATATCCCTATTTTCTTGATAAAATTCAGAGGCACATAATTCCTCGAATCCATGAATTACATCCTCAATTGGTACATATGCCAGTGACATTAACATTTTTATGCACATAGCAAAATTTGTTTCGGTTTTGTATGCATTACAAATTAGCGGATTTTTATGAACCGTGCGCCATATGCATTGAGACATATGAAACAGGCATCCGCGCAAAAGTAACTGGTTACTTAATTTTTATATATATTTCAATAAATATAATTAAATAATAAATTTAAATTTGTAAATTTTTTTAATATTCTTTTACTATATGATTTAAATCTTAGCCAATGAATTTATATTAATATAAATATATTCGATTTAACGTAATTTAATCGATCCGGCTAGCCCTGAATCTACTATCCACTAAAAATAATTGTAACTAGTGGCTAGTTAAATTTAAAAAAAGAAAACTATTAACTGTAACTTGTTATATTTTCCCAAATTTAACTACTAACTTAACTATTTGCATTACATTGCCAAAGTAACTTATAAAAACATTATCTATTTTATTTTGTACTTATCTTTAAAATTAAATTTCGTAAAATTCCTTACAAATCATGTCTAAATTTTATTCTACCATTAATTCATCTAATAATCGAAAAACATCGCTTATATAAGGTAATTCTAATATTTAAAATTAAATACTATAAATTTTTTTCCTATGATTATATATAACATTTTTTTATAAATAATCATATCTTTAAGTAGAATTCTTTATAAAATAATTTTCTATAAAATACATTCTTATAAAATAATTCTCTATAAAATACATTTTTATAAAATAATTCTCCATAAAATCATTCTCTGTAAAATCATTCTCGATAAAATTATCTCTATAAAATCATTCTCTATTAAATCATTCTCTGTAAAATTATTATCATTCTCTATAAAATCATTCTCTATAAATTTATTCTCTGTAAAATAATTCTCTATATACGACATTCTCTATAATTGACATTCTCTATAATTGTTTTCTCTATAAAAATTCTCTGCAAAATACATTCTCTATAAAATAATTCTCTAAAATCGATATTCTCTATAATTTTTTTCTCTATAATGGTTTCTCTGTAATGACGCGATACCTTATTAAGTTTTTATTTAAAATTTTAACACGTGTATATTTTTGATATTATTACAAACTAATTTATTTTAAGATACATCGCACCAACTATAGTTGGTATGATAATAAAATATAAATCTTAATTCTTTATCATATCACTCTGCCTTATTTTATAGTTACAAAATATTTCATTTTTATATGGCACCCTTGCTGTGTAAATCACTTAAGGTTTCAATATATTTGCATAATTTCTTTTAAAGATTTTTAGTTTTATCAATTTATCTAACATAATAAATTCTGCTATTAGTTAACATGGTGACGCTGAGTGTCATGGCTACGACTGCAAATTAACCAGCATCTATTATTTGTGTGGCTATGTTAGTTAAGATGATTACTATTGCATATTTTAGATAAGCAATAATGATCAACAGTGTAGTCGTTTATGTATCATTAAAAATGGAAGATAATCTTTTATAAATTTAATATCTCACAATAATTTTCTCGATTACTTATCTAGCTTACATCAAGTCATCTAAGAGGAAGCTCTAACCACCATATAGTTTTATGATTTGAATTGGTCGTTTATATTTTCTTCTTTAAGAATTGTTGATTTGGTTAGGCCTATAAATTTTTCCTTATTATTCCATTCTATAAAACATTGACTAAAATGTTAACAGAGTTATATTATTTTCATGAACTTTAGTCAATGTAAGTTGCCAAAAATTATATTATATTATGTGGTTTTAATAACCATTATCAATTGAGGCATATGTATGTAATTAACCTTTTTTTCATTTGTAATTCTTTAGACGCAAATTTTTTAGCAATCGAAAATATTTATACTGTAATAAATAGATTTTATATTAAAAAATATTAATTTTAGAAATGTTTTATATTGTTTTAATTATTTATATGCTAGTTTATTTTGTAAGAATAATATAATAAATGACAAAAATAATGAAATTCAGGATAATTGTTCAGAGTTAACAAATTTTAAAAAGGTTAAATATATTAATATAAAATCCGGCCGAAGGCCTAATTAGGGAATATGGAGGCTTCGCCCTCATAATTTTTTTTTAGTTGAGCCCTTTGAGATTGTAATAGCTAGCAACGCCCTGAATATGAGCAATATATATATAAACATAACAATTAATGTATACAAAAAAGATATCATTATTAACAATTATAAGCTGTTTTTCTATTTTATTCTTAGCATTAATTTTTGATAATCTTGCTAAAATCTAATTTGCTTTTAATAGGTTGATAAAGCTGTATTTAAATCAATTTCCATTTTAGAATTAAATTTGCTACCTTTGTTTAATATAAAAGACAATGTTATAAATAAACGTAAATATATAGATAATCATGAAAATAGATTTTTCAAGTTATAAATTGGAGTAATATAATATTTTATATACAAATTGTTAAAGTCATAGCCTTATTTTCTATAAGATATATACCTTTATAGTATCAGATTCTGTATATTCCATATTAGAGAATTGAGTTAATTAATAAATTAATCATTATAATATAAAAGACAATGTTGAAATTAAATGCAAAATATATAAATATTCATAAAAGTTATTTTAAGTTATAAATTGAGGAATATATTTTATATATAAGTGTACCTTTATTCTATCAGATTCTGTAAATTCCAAAGTAGAGAATTAAGTTACTTTTATAAATTATTCACAAAAGTATTTTTTAAATATGGCGTATAAATTTGAAAAGATAATATTTAATTAACAAGTTGGATGACGTGATCTATCATAAATACCAAAAATTGGGGTATATAGCTTTAGTGTAAAAAAAAGTATTCTATTATCTTATCTAGCACGTAGGTCATAGACTTATCCAAATTGAGCGAACGTGAATTATATGAAGGCCTACCCTTCATAAAATTAAGCATATTTTTTTCTCAAGGATATTAACAAACCTTTTGCCCAGTTGTAATTTAACATAATGAGTTGGAACTTCTTTCCGATTTTGTAATAGTGAAATTTAGTAATGAGTGTATAGGAGATAAAATTAAGAAGGTAAAATGTGAGAATACCATTTTTTCCAAAAGAGCTTTTCCTATAAAATCATGCATGTACAGTATTTAAAAACCGGTGGTACATCGATAAATAGCAATAAGAAAATTTAAAAGTGTATCTAGTAAAGGCCTAAATGCATAATCTTAGTCTTTATATTTACCAAGGGATTCTACATATATTTTATATTTAGCATTTATTATTATAACATCATATTATTTTAATGATGGCTATCTTGTGCCCTTAGATTGATAGGCACAATATAGACAAAAAATATTTTATCCAATACTAGGCTTAATTTTTGTTCTATGTTTATTAAGTATTACGTTTCATATGGACCAATTATCACAATATTGAGACCCGAATCTACTACTCTATCAGGCCAGACCTCTGGAAGTCCTTAGAACATTGCATCATACTTTAAACCTATTGCAGAACGCCTGGGATTAGCCCTTGGTTGGCAAAACAATTTAAAAGGCCAAGGAATTTACTACAGATTAGTTGCGATCTAAAAAAAACCAGGGGCAAATCTCAGACGTTCTGCAATTGGGTTAAAGTAATATGCAATGGGATGAGAACTTCTAGAGGTCTGGCCTGATAGAGTAGAGGATTCGGGTGTAAATTTTCTGATTAATAGTTTACATGACAAACGTAAAAAATGCATAATAAACATAGATAGAACAAAAATTAAGCTTCATATTGTATAAAATATATTGCCTATATTGTTAGTGAACAATCTACGGGTACAATATGACCCTCAGTAAAACATAATGGTGTTTTAATAATATTTTGGCATAAATGCTAATATAAAATATGGAGAATTTCTTGGTAAATTTAAGGACATTATGCATTTAGACCTTTACTACATACACTTTTAAATTTTCTTATTGCTATTTGTCGACGTACCGCTGGCATTTTAATACAGTACATGCATGATTTTATAGGAAAAGCTCTTTAATACTTTTTATGGTTAATAAATTATCTTCCAAACATGTATTGGCCATATCCTTGGCAGTTACAACTCCTATACTTATAGGGCTTATATATTACAAATATAAAAAAAATAAAATACAAATTTCGAAGGAAGATAAGAAAGCTGAAACTATACTTGATAAAGATATAGAAATTGTGGACAAGGTTTTTCTTTTTTTTATAATTGTATATAATGAGTTTTAGCCACCTTTTGAGAAAGCAATTGATCTTAAATTAGAAGGGAATGAATATGTTAAAAATGGAAATTATGAAGCAGCTATTAACAATTATACTGAGGCTATAAAATTATGTCCAGCTATAAAAACGGATGATTTGGCAACTTTTTACAATAATAGAGCAGTAGCATTTTTTCATGAGGTAAATATTTGGCATAGATTATATTTATACAAATGTAAAGAAAAATTATGAAAAAACTATAGAAGATTCCACAAAAGCTTTTGAATTAAAAAAATCATATCCAAAAGCTCTGTTTAGAAGAGCTGTAGCTCATGAAAAGCTTGATCATTTTAGTGAGGGCTACATAGGTTAAGTTAATATTTTTTATTATCAGGAATATAATTTTGGCAACCAGATATCACTGCTGTATGCTTTCTTGAACAATTTTCTAACATGGAAACTTTGCAAGTTGCTGATAGAATTTTAAAAAAAATGGCTAAGGAAAAGGCAAAAGAGTATACAAAGGTAAAATAATTTTATTTGTATAATATATTTTTAAACAGACTAGAAACCCTGAATTGCCAGCAGAAAAATTTATCCACTCATTTATCCAATCCTTTAATTGTGATCCAGTATTTAATTATAATATTCAAAAAACTACCTTCCCTAATGCAAATGATAGGTATATAATTTGAACAATTTGATGATAATATATTTTTATTAATAATATATTTATTTTATGAAAGAGGTTATACTACACCATTTTCCTTTGTATATCATACTAATTTAATAAAATTCTTTTATAGCCTCTGTGGTTCAGTAGCTTAGTAGTATGCCAACAAAAATATTAATTATTTGTGTTCAATTTATATTTCCCAATGGAATAATTATATTATTTATATTTGTGTATAAATTCCCTATTTGTAAAAATTTGTGTTGTTTTTTTTTAATTGCTCGAGATTTTATTAATAAGTGTCCAAACTTTTCTGCCAATTATGAGTATATTTTTAAAAATTGAGCCTTTTAACATCTCTAGTATATATATAATAAAAACATTATTCAATTTGATTCATTAAATATTTGATTCAATAAGTAATTCTTTAAAAATGTAAAAAAAATGGATGAATAAAATTTTATTAAGACATCTATAGATGTGTGGGAAAAATATAAACTCCACAAGGAGCAAAAATATGATTTCAAATATGAATAATATTGATTTACAAATTATTAAATAATTTGAAATTATGCAAATAATTTGATGGAATAATAGTTAAAAAATTATTCAACAGAAAATATATTTTCCTTATTAGTTTTTGAATTGAATAATTTAAATTTTGTATTCATATTTTTTTAATATAAATTGAATCAAATGTTGAATAACAAATAATTTGTTTAGTTATATATAATACTTAGTAGCAGGGATGCAAACCTGCCAAAATTTTTGCCAGATAGGTTCAGGTTCGGAAGATAAAAAAATAGGTAGGTTCAAGGAAATATTTTTAAACCTGGGTTTCCTGGTTCAACTCAGGTTTAAGAATTTTTGAATTGATAAAAAAATCTATATTTAAATCACAATTAAAAATCTAGACATAAATTTGGTATAAAATACAAAGCAGTCATGTATCAATTTTAAATATCTTTAAATTAACTCCAATATAATAATTTTTACTTGACTTGTACTTTTTTATTTTCCTCTAATTAATAATCTTTGAGAATAAGTTAAAAATTAAAAATAAATGGCGTAAATGAATTTAATTGTTTAAAAATTATTAACACTCTAATAGGAATCTAATTTTAAAAAATTTAAAAATGGTGTAAATAAATTACGTTTTTTAAAATTTATTAACATTACACTTAATTGGAAATTTAAAAATATTATAAAATCTCAATTAAATTATATATTTGTATTTACAATTATACAAATTTAAAATATGATTAACAATACATTGAACCTGATTGAACCCGGGTTCAAATAAAATTCCTGGGTTCGGTTCGGGGTTTTTAAAATTTTATAAACTGGGGTTCGGTTTGGGTTTATATTTTTTTCCTATATCCCAGGTTTTCTTCTCTGTGTTCAGGTTCGGTTTGAATCCCTGCTTAGTATTAATAAAGATCAAAGGTTTTGTTTATATTGGCAAAAAAATTTCTGAAACAAACAGCAATAGATCTGATTCAATTTCCCCAAGAGATACAAAAATGAATTAACCTGACCTGCAATACCCGTTCAAAATATAGATTTTGTGTATATATCTCTACCTTTTTTAAATTCTAGGCAATTATTTGGGATGGGGTACATTACCTTTACAATAAATTTGAGCAAATTTCAAAAATAGCCCAGCTAAGAAGTTCATTTAAAGTCTTGAATAGGGATAAACTTAAGATTTTACTCAATTCATAATTTAATTTATGTATCATAATTTAGCATGGAAGAAAATGAACATGAAAACATTTATCACTCCTTGCCTAACTCACCACATAGTGTTAATCCAATACAAAATGGCATGACTTTCACTGATGACACCACACCCAAAATTAATCATAATAACATATTAAATGATAGCTCATTACAAAATTTAAAGGATTATCAATCTGGTGATAATGAAGCACCTGGAAACAAAATAAAGGAAAATAATATAGAACTGCTTAAAGCATTAGAGTTGTTACATTATCAAGAATATAAAGTTGTCATAAAAAATTGTAAAAACTATTTAGCCAAACAAGCTCTCACTAAATCTATCCTCAAAGTGTTTTTGAAGGAATTTGATGAAAAATTAAATACAGGTTTTTTTATAAAAAAAATTCCATAGATGTCATGGCTTTGATGAATTCAATGCTGTGGAATGGGCTTTAAGGAAAATCTTACACTCAAATTCATTTTTAACTCCTTGTAAACCTGAATCAAACTCATTTTTGGAATTTTTTTTGGTTTAATTAGTTATACCAGAGATTAGTGTTGTTAAACGGCTCGTTTTGAGCCTATTTTTTAAAAACGGCTAACTCTGTATTTTAACCAGAAAAATATTGCCTTAGCCTCAAGATTTCGATAATATATGTCTAGACCTTTGTTCCTTCTATGAGCAAATTAGGTAATATTTTTCTGAATGAATTATTGAGTTAGCCGTTTTTAAAAATCGGCTCAAAATGATCCGTTTAACAACACTACCAGAGATGCATTAATATTATACCAAAGAACAAATATCTTCTGGCTTTCATGAGAAAAATGGATAAAAACATTAAAAAAAACATTTTACAATATTTTTTTAACAATAATAAATTATTTTAATATTATTTAAACTATTTTTTATATGATATTTTTATGATAGTAAAGAATCGAAAACACATGCAATATTTTAATTTTTATTTGGTAAGAAAATACTTAAAATAAGATGAATTAAATCTAACATATCACCCAAAAATATTTTTTAAACTATCCAACCTCAGTTTGTTTTTAAATTATTTGTAAAATTTGAAATTTTGCAGTGTTGTAGATTACTATTACAGAAATTATTATATAAATACATTTTAAATAATATTATAAAACATTAATTATGCTTCAATATCTCTCTCCACTTTACGTTATTCATGTTATCTCATTCATCTTTATATTTCTTCATATTGGCTCTAACTTTATGGCCTCATTGAAGCTTTGGCTTACCTCTTTTACGTTTACCCATCACTTCCAACCTCTTTACCTTATTTCTAGTGTTGTTAAACGGCTCGTTTTGAGCCGATTTTTAAAAACGGCTAACTCAATATTTCATCTGAAATAATATTACACAGGCCTGAAGATTTTGCTTGTAGAAGGAACAAAGGTTTGGACATCTATTAGCGAGATCTCGAGGCTTAGGCAATATTTTTCTGGCTAAAATATTGAGTTAACCGTTTTAAAAAATCGGCTCAAAACGAGCCGTTTAACTACATTACTTATTTCCTATATAGTTTATAGGCCTTCTCATTGTGTATCCATACCACCTAAGTCAGTTCACCATTATCCTAGTCTTAATAGATACTACCTTTAAACTTCCTAGTATACTTGTACTTCGCACCTTATCAATTTATATTTCTTCATATTGGCTCTAACTTTATGGCCTCATTGAAACCTTGGCCTTCTTTTACGTTTGCCCATCACTTCCTACCTCTTAACTTCATTTCCTATAGTTTATAGGCCTTCTCATTTTGTATCCATACCACCGTCATAATAGGTACTGCCTTTAAAATTCCTATTATGAAACCTTGGCCTTCTTTTACGTTTGCCCATCACTTCCTACCTCTTAACTTCATTTCCTATAGTTTATAGGCCTTCTCATTTTGTATCCATACCACCGTCATAATAGGTACTGCCTTTAAAATTCCTATTATACTTGTACTTCACACCTTATCCTTTCTTGATACCCCAGCAATCATCCTCAGTAGTGTTGTTAAACGGCTCGTTTTGAGCCGATTTTTAAAAACGGCTAACTCAATATTTTAGCCAGAAAAAAATTATTTAAGACTCGAGATTTCGCTAAGAGATGTCCAAACCTTTGTTCCTTCTACAAACAAAATCTTCAGGCTTGCGTAATACTATCCTGGATGAAATACTGAGTTAGCCGTTTTTAAAAATCGGCTCAAAACGAGCCATTTAACAACACTAATCCTCAGCATTCTCATCTCCATAGTTTGTAGACTTCTCTCGTCTGATTCTTTGGTTGGCCATGTTTCCGAACTATATAGAATAGAATAGTTGGTTGTACTATGGAACTGTATATTTTTTCCTTCAATTTGTACATGATTCTTTTGTCAAAAAGCGCTCCAGATAAAGATCTCCACTTTAACCACCCTTCATTAATTTTACTCTTTATCTCTTTCCTATTGTGCCGTTTGTTTGTATAGTGAAGCCCAAATATTTGCAGCTTTCAATTGCCGATATCTGCCATTCATTTATATCAATGCTCTCTGTTTCATCTCCTCCTATCACCATATATTCCTTCTTTTCTTTGTTTACTTATAGTCCGTGTTTAGGATATTTATCTAACTCATGCTATCTATTGAATAGAAAAATATTTCCTTTTTGTTTTTATCTATTTTCTTATGAAAGTGAAAACTTGGCATTCCAATTTTTTTAAATACAGATATAGATTGATCTAAGCTTACATGTACCTTAGTTTGATTTTTTTTAAAGTTTATACACAAAATTTTACTAAAATCTATAGTGGTTAGGAGAATCTTGACCGATTTGACATGGAATGACCTTAATAGTCAAAAAAGTAATATTGAAAGTATTTAGGTTAAGAGGTTTTATATTAATCCTCATATCATAAATTTAAGGCAACATGATTTTTTTTAATGAAAAGTGTAATTTATGCATGTAAAGTATCTTTGGATGATTTTTTGAGGTAACTTAAATATAAAACTTTTTGTTTCTGAATATTTAGTAATTTTTAAATTTCCAACCCTAAGAATAAAACCTGATATCATTTTCCTTTCATAATTAATAAATATATGTTAACTAATTATTTAATTAAGATATTAATAATTATTTTTAGATATCGAGCCAAGTTTAATAAACGAACAGGATTTATTGATGGCCCTATTACTCTCAACCTTTTATCTACTCATGGGAGACAAATCAGCCAAATCTAATTTTGAATTTTTATTGGACCTAACTAACCAAGTCGATCATAAAGTTGATATGGAACTTTTGAAAGATATAAAATTCACTGATTCCGCTCTCACACTTTTAAAAGATCATAAGGTTAATTTCTATAAATTTATCAGTAAGTAAATAATATTCCAAATAGATTTTTTTTGTTTAAACTTTAAATATGGATTGTTGATATCATTATCATTAGCTTATTACGCCTTCCGTTATGAATTTATTTACTCGTAAAATATATTAAAAATGGCCCTTGTACTCTTAAATAATGAGTTGCTTACTTATTTTACTTTTTCTTATTTCGATTCTCTATAAATTTTATATTAATCTTTCTTCATTAGTTTGCCGCTAATTTATTGATTAAAATTGCTAGTTGCACAACCCAAGAATGCGATTCGGAAGAGGCCTTAGGATTTTTTGACAGAGCAATCAAATTAGATCCGAATAATTGTGATATTTTTTATCATAGAGGCCAGGTTAAAACTTTGGAATTTTTTTTTAACGAGAATATTTATTTGTTCTAGTATTTTCTATTTTCAAAAATACCGATCCGATATTATTATTATTACTTATAGCTAATTTATGATTTTATAAATTATATAATATTTTCTATTTTACTTATATCTTCCTAATAAATAATATAATTTATTTGTAATTGTGTTAAAAAAAAATTAAAATAATTTATCATAAACATTGCCCATAATTTTAAATAATATGATTAAGTTTTGGGGAATAAAAAAAAAATCTTTGCGAGAAAGGCCACGTGAAACAGAAAATAAAATGTTTTTTCGTTTTGCCCATTAGTATAAGCTAGTTTTTTTTGCGCAGAAGATATTGATTTTTTAATGACATTGGTTCGTTGTTATACTTATACATATAGGTTATCGGATCGGTTTTGTATGAATATTAGAGAATATCAAATCGATGAAAAATTACGTAGCTATTTTTCTAAAATTATTAGTATTATCTTGATTTTTATAATAATATAATATTTGATTTCGGCAAAATAATATCTTACAAGCAAGTCAATGTCATAAAATTTTTAATATCTTATTCCTTTAAAAAATAAATAAGATGACTCAATTCATAATTACTTTTTAATTAAGTTCATCTTATAAAGTAAAAAATGTATAATTTAAAAAAGTAGTCTATAAAAATATTAGTTGGTCCTTTTACTTAACAATAAACAATTTTTACTGAGAATGGAGAACTAATATACCGATTTCTAATTATTATTTGTATTGAACAAATAATTTGCTTCGATATTCTTAATCAAATTCAAATAAACACAATTTTCTTGAGATCCGTATGAATTTGGGTGATATTTTGTGTACGTTATTCATTTAAAAGTAGGGATGTACCGATATTTTATATCACATAGGGCCGATATTTCACCTTTTTTAATATCGGTTATCGGCGTATATTATAAAATTTCCCGATCCAATAAAATGGCGTCTTAATTTTTAAAAAATTTATCTCAAATTTCACGATATATGTGTTTATTATTTATAATGTAAATGGATTAATGTTATTATAAATAAGTTATTTATCAATAAAAATATTTAATATAATTTTAGATTCATGAATAAAACTATAACTGATCATTACAATATATTTAAATGACTTATGCTGTGGTGTAGTTAAATTATAAATGTTATACTATTAAAAATTATATGAGATGAGTAGATGTATATAGTGATTGATGCAAAATAGCTCTATTTGAGCCGATTTTTAAAAACTGATAACTCAATATTAAAGCCTCGAGATTTCGCTAATAGTGCAAAACTTTGTGCCATCTATGAGCAAAACCTTCATCTTGTCTGATATTTTTCGGGATAAAATATTGAGTTAACCGTTTTTACAAATGGGCTAAAAATCGATTTTGCAACACTAGATGTATGCATTTAAAATCAAACCAATTAGTATGTTTATAGAATAAAAAATAAGATATGGTATCGGATCGATAATCGGCTGATATCTATTAGTATCGGCAATATCAGATCGGCCTCCAAAAAATGGTATTGGTAAATCCCTATTTAAAAGTTTTTTTAGAATGTGGCGGTCCATTAACCCCCATTTAAAAGTTTAAATTCTTATAAAAAAAATAATGAGTTTTTTTGATTTTATAAAACTTTATCCAAATGTCAGCAAAACCAATCTATATTTGTATTAAAATATTGGATATAAGTTTTCATATTCATGGTAAAAATCAATGAAACCACTAAAACATTTTTTTAAATCATAATATCAATATGTAATTGTTTTAAATTATAGAAGTATTTCTCAAAACATCCAGCCTCAGAATTTTAAAAAATTTAATATTCCATAAATACATTATAATAATAGAACAATTAATTCATATGCTATCTATTGAACAATGTTTTTAACGATTTTCCTCAAGAAAGCCAATAATTGGCATTCCGATTTTTAAAAACAAGCATTATTTTATACTAGGATTTAGAATCATTATTTATAATTCTAGTGTTTTTAGTAAATCATTAGTTGAAAGGTTATCGAACTTTGACCCTTGATATTTCCAAAATATAAGAGTTAGGATGCCAAAATTTAAACACTGCTTAGTTACGTGAACTTTAATTTGTATACAAAATTACACCCAAGTCCCAAGAGGTCTGGAGATTGGACATCAATGACCCATAAATAAAATAATAATATACTTTTATTTAGAAATAATTTATATCTAAAAAAATATAATCAAGTTTCAAACTCTATTTGGTCATTATGACAAAGCAAAAACCGATTTTGAATTTGCTGCTTCTCACTCCACTCCAAATCTGTCATCCATTTTGCCATCCATCCAAAGAGACTACACGCGTTTCAAAATTTTTCTCGCCGAGTCAACCGGGTCCGATACTGAAGCATCCGCCGAATTTAGTTCGGGTGTATCACTACGCAACTTCCCCACAGGTCTATCAGGTTTAGGGCCAACTCTTAATAAAGAACAGCAAACCGAATTAGCTGAAAAGGCTACAAAATTGATACATGACGGCATTGAAACAACTCTTAAAGATTGTTTGATCAATTTGATGCAAAATTCTACCTCTTTATCGGCTAACGGATTTGAGTTTGGACCGCATTGTTACAATAAAGAAATGTTGGAAATGATAAAAGGCCAAACCGACAAGGGGGAAAATTTTTCTGAAGCTCACGTTTTTTTGGCGCAAGTTTTTTTTGAAGAATATATATTTTGTTATATATGTAGAGATTAAAAATAAAACTGTTAAATTTAAAAAAAAAATTAGACCCTGTACTTAGAATTGAAACTTTTCATAATTTTTTTAAAATCAACAAATTGATTTAGTATAATAAGTATAGAAATTTGGATTATTTTATTTTAAGTTTAAAATATAAAAAATATATTTAGATTAGTTTTTCCCTATTTTTTTTTATGGAATAGGAATATTCTAGTTATATTTTTATTTATCTAGTTAAATTTAAATAGATTTTGTTATTTTATATTGTTCGGAAATAAATTTTTATATTTGAATTTGGAAAGCTTAATAATATTTTAGTAGAAGGGTACGGTATATTTTACCTCTTTTTAGTTATCCAATATTGGCCACAGATCTAATATTTTTTCCATCCTACTTACAATTTGTTTTGACGCTATAATTGGGTAGTTAGTTTTATAATCAGTAATTTAATTTATTTATTCTATTAACTTTAATAACATTAACTGCAGATTAATTATATACTTTGTTTTATGTATGCGATTTTATTAAAAATTATCTCGTTCTTTTTATGGGGGTGGAGGTTGACCCCCTAGAGCTCAACATATTAAGTATTTTCAGTCTAAAGCCCAATTATTATTTTTTGAGTTTTAACCTTATTTTCAGAGTTGTTAAAAGATACATTTTAAATGGATCTAGATACAGATACATCGTCTAAAATAATATCTAGATACAGATATTTAAATCAAAAATCTATCTAGATATAGATACAGATACCACATTTTAATGTATCTAGATCCTTTAACAACTCTGCTTATTTTTAAATTTATTTTTCAAGTCTGACCCCCATCCGTAATTTTTTACTCATATAAATAGGAAAATTATACACAGTATTTTTATAGAACTAATTTCTAAATTCCAGAGATTATTTTATTGATTTAATATATTAATTTAATGTATGAAGAAAAATTAAAATAGGGCCAGGCTGAAGTTAATTTCTATAATTCCAAAACTATGTTTTTATCCACCATTTTGGTGTATCGAATCTATCGATATGTTATTTAAGATAATTAATATTCGGGCCTATCCAATAAAATTAGGCATGCCCTACTAATGAGTTTTTTAAGCATATCGTTAAAAAATATTTTTGAAGCCTACAAAAAATTACTACAACACTAATTAATCTGAAATAATAAACCTTGTAACCTTATAAAATTTAAATCATTATAAAAATGATTAAATATATTCCTGATTATTTAATTTATAAAATATTATTTATTTTCGTACCTTGTTTATTTAAAAAAAAACAAAGAATGTTAAAAAAGTTAGTTAATTAATGGTAAGTAAAAAAATTTAAACTTAAACCCCTTAAACTAAATATTCAAATCGGAAAAACCTTTAATACTAAATATTTTTTATTCAATTTGATCGTAAAAAAAATTAATTGATGCGAAAAAAATTTATCCAATTCAAAAAATTTAATGATTAAAAATTAATAATCAAAAAATTAATGATCCAAAAAATTAATTAATTTTACAAAAAATCTTCAAGAAAAAAATTAATCATATCCAATTCACAAAAATGTATATTTTAAATATAAAAAAATCAATATGTGTGTAATTGCAATATATTATCAGATATGTATAAAAAAATCGCATATGCTTCAAATATAAAAATAATGGCGATCTTTTCTCAATAAAAACAAAACTCAAAACCAAAATATATCTTCTTTTTTCATCGAAGAAAAATATGTTCCCATAATTTATATCATAAAACATAAGGGATTTTTAACAAAATAAAATAAAATGATTTTTTGATTGACATTTTAATTATTAAAATAAATATCAACAATAACTATTACAAACTAAAACAGTTTAATAATTATATATATATTTTTTTTACAGTTATTTCTAATTTTCAGTTATTTTTTAAACTTAGTTTGACCTGGTTATATTTCATTATAATTTCATATTTATTATTCTATTCAATTTAGGCTTACTCCGACATTATGAATTACGATAAGGCCGAAATGCATTTAAATTTAGCTTTAGAAACAGATCCTCAGAATTTCAGTGTGCTAGTGCACTTGGCTCTCCTTAACCTGCAAAAGTTAAACCTAGAAACTAGTAACGCCAGTAATCAAGAATCCCAAGTTAAGATTGCTATAGAATACATCCATAAATGCTTAGATATCGAGCCTAGATGTGAATTTGCTTACGAAACGCTGGGAACAATATACATGCAAAGGTTTGAGTTATTCGCAAACATCAAGAAATTGTGAACTATAATTATGTTTTATAAGAATAAATTTCTAGTTGAATATATATATTAATAATATTTATTGTTAAAAAAAGCGGTAGATTTCAAGACGCATTGGCAAATTTTGAGAAAGCAATGCTGTACGTAAAAAGTGAATTCGAATTGGCTCATTTAATCGCTATGCGTGAAACTGTGTTAGCTCAAAAAAAGGCCCTTCAGCTCTTAGGAATGTCCATATAATAACATCATTAATTTTTAATTCATTTTTTTTCCATAATATTTGATTTTATAGATTTTTTTTATAACACTTGTCAACAAATCAATCCTAGTTCTCTGTTAAAGCGTATATTTTTCGTCGTTTATTATAATACCTTTTATATGCTGCCGTAAACCAAATCACAATTATTAAAGTAGGTAATAATTTACTAATTTGAAATTTTTTTAAATTTTAAATAAATTTTATAATTTTAAGCTATCCTTATTAAAAACATTAAAGTTAGCTCTATCGTTTACAGTTTAGGATAATAAAATTATTGTTTAAAATAAATCATTCAAGTGTAGATGGTCCTCACAATATAATTCAATATCTCATTCCTAGCCTACAGATCTATCTTTTAATTAAAATATAATCGTTTCACTTCCCATTAGTGGATCAAACGTTAATGAGGTGGTCAGTTAATTTTTTAAAATTATATTTTGTATAAATAATTTCAAAATAACTTTTAAAATGTAACTAGTTAATTTTGAAATATAACTGAGCTTTTTAAGAATGTTACTGTATCTATATTTTTTTAGAATTTAAACTAGTTAAGCTCCAATGTAACTTAACACTAGTTTAAAGGCTGAAATGGACGGGAAAAAATAGTTTGACAAAATTATGTGTAAAATATTATACAATAAATTTGTTAATATATCTTCATCAAATGATGTGCTAAATATCATATGATTTAGACCGTTTCGGAACAGTCATCTGTGTAACCTCTATATAGCTTCCTCAAAACAGCCTAAAAAGAAAGTGACTTTTTTAAAACTAAATTATTTATTTAATGTTCACACTTATTTTAGAATTTAAAACAAAGGCAATATAAAAAATGAATGATGATTATAAGATATAGCATATATATGTATAAAAAATTAAAATAAAACTATTAAACTAGGTAATAAAGATCAAAGGTGAGATCGGTTTACTTGCATTGATAAACTATGATTAGCAATGAAAATACTTTGACGAATAGCCATAGTAATGGCTTGTTTATAGAAGACTTTATTACGGTTGTCATTTATTTGGCTAAATTTTTTCCTTATAATGTTATAAATTTAAGGAATTCTCACCAAAAATACCAAGAGTATTGGGGAAGTAAGATAAAAATTACCTTAGTAATGTCTGAATATTTTTTCAAGATTTCGGCCGAACTAATTGCTAATGTTGGATCGTGTTGATAGATGCAAGTATGATGATAAGCAACTTAAAGACAAACGTATTAGAATGATACCATCGGGTCTTCTGTTACTTAAGCATAAATTATTCGGCTTTAGGGTATTTGGGATACTGGCACTTTTGGGATTAACTTATTTATGTTTGTATGTTATGGGAGCAGCATTGAAATATTGGCAATTTAAAGGATGGTTTCATTTGGAATCAGATTCTAAAGAACAATTACATATGAAAGGAAGAGATGTATTGCACCAGAGACGAAGTGAAATAGCAATACGAAGTTCTTCAGGGAAGACCAGGATTTTTCTTGGAATAGCCGGCAGCTATTGGTAGCCCGATTTAAAATTTAGATTAGCATGGCTAGGAATGATATACTAGGGGAATATCCTAAGCTTTTTGAAGGATGGATGTGGTCTACTAATTCTAGGCTGACAATTGCTCACCCAGGTGCGAATAGCGCTTTCAAGATCATGACTGGTAGTAGTGTTGTTAAACGGCTCGTTTGAGCCGATTTTAAAACGGCTAACTCAATATTTTACCTAGAATAATATTACGCAAGCCTGAAGATTTTGTTTGTAGAAGGAACATAGGTTTGGACATCTATAAGCGAAATCTCGAGGCTTAGACAATATTTTTCTGGCTAAAATATCTAGTTAGCCGTTTTTAAAATCGGCTCAAAACGACTGTTTAACAACACTACTAGGTATTAAACTTGAACTGCTTAATCGTGAGGAGATAAAAGTAACAAGAGAAAGCAGAGATGGGGAACGGAAGCTAACCATACCATTTTTTCATGGAAGAGAGACCAGCAGCCACAATTTATCTGCAAATTTTATATTGATGGTGCCCTCAAGCATTGTGTGGATATGATATTTTGTAATAGAATCAGACGATTGGTATGTTAAAATAATTTTTAACTGATGGGCAGGCAATTATTTGGAATTTTACTAGATTAGGATAGGTTTTGTCTAAAAAGGTCTTAATTGCAGTGCCACCACCAATTGGAGAACCAAGATGAGTTCTGAATGGAAATATATTTGAAGGATGGGATTGGGATAATAGAATTATTGAGAGGAAATTCCGACTTTGACATGTTAAAAAAACCCTTTAAGTTCCCTGATAAAATTAATATGATGCAACACGATATTTAGTAATTTTTTTATTGATTCATGTATAGTATAATATAAAACCCACAAAAAAAATTTTTTTAATTTAAAATGGCGGCTCTCTCTGGTGGTTTCAAATTCATATCATAGACACCTTATGAAAACTTTCGAAACAGTTTCTATTTTTATTTAGACATAGTGGTACGTTGCATGATTTGCACTACCACCTTGTTCTTCTGGGATTTAACTTTGTACTACAGTGGGCACACCTTCTGGAGGTTGATGAGCTGAGTTTTTTAGTCTAATTTCTGAAAGGATATAAGGCTTATTATTTTTTCTTTGCATTGATATATAATTATTATCATTCTCAATATTATCATCCCTATCAACATTTTTGCAGTGTGCCAATTCGCTAGCAATTATTTGTCTTCGGAATTCTTTCAATGAGAGTTTATTATCTGTAAGAATATTGTAGATTATGAATGAATTGATAATTGCCGCATCAATCAGCCAAAAGATTATTGGCAGCCACCATTTTCGCCACTTTCGCGAGATTTCATATAAAGACTTTAAATGGTCGAAATGGTCAACAGACCCCATAAATTTATTATATATCTTTATCATCATTGGATATTTTTGTCACTTCTCCAGTCAAACTCATCTCTTGTTAATTTTGTTTACATATTCTTTATGGGCAAATATCTCCTATTTTTGTTTAATGTTCCGGTAGCATATATACCTTTCTTTTTTAAATCGGATAATAGAGTATAACTCGTAAAATAATTATCGAAAAATATTTTATGATTTTGAAGTCCTTCGCAAAACTTTGTTACAATATTATAACCTAGATTACTTTCAACCTCTTTATTTTTCCCAGTATAGATATTAAAATCATTCATATATCCTGAATTATCACACCTCATCCATACCTAAAAATATGGTTTAGTCGAAATAAATAATGACAAAATTCACATATTACCTTGAAACCGCGTTTAGTAGGTTTCTTAGGCATATATTGCCTAAATGCTATACGGCCTTTGAACCTAATCATTCCTTCGTCATTTGCTTGATATTCCACAAGGGAAGAAAATATTTCAAGCAAGAGGAACGGATATTATCAATGAATGGTCTTATTTTGTATAATTTATCATAATTTTCATCATTTCTTGATGGTTCTAAGATATTGTCATTTATATGGATGTGGCTCATAAGCCAAATAAAACGTTTTACTTTCATTATGGATGAAACGAAATTGTCTTGGAATTCTGGTTTAGAACTCCAATAATCTTTGTAATTTGCCATATTTTTAATTCCAAAAAGTATATGAAGACATAAAAATTTTCTTATTTCTGTAGGAGTTGTTGGTTGATATTTAATATTTTTTTGTTGGGTATATAAATTGGTATTGAATGTAATTGTATTTATTAATGAATCATTAATAAATTTTATATATATATCAGATGGATACAATGAGTCCTTTTTTAGGGATGATATTGGACCTGATATTTTATCAAATTCTAATACTGGTTCTGAAAAATATTTTTTTGCACCAGATAGGATTATTATGGTTTGTACCAGATTGATCATTCATAACTTGTTCCGACTGTCATCAATTTCGATTTGATAACGTGTTTCTGATTCATAGTTTCATAGTCATCACTATCAATTTGGTAACGTGTATCAAATTCATAATCATCTTTGGTATCAGTGGATGAGTATAACGAAGAATCTTCAGATGAAATATCCAGATAATCATCCATATAACAAGCTAAAATTATTGCTAAATGAATTTGCAAAATTTATCAATTATTTTAAAAATATTGTTGTAAAGTGGCAATGGTTAGTTTAATATACCACATTAAAAAGATCAAATTAATATATAAATTTTGAGGAAAATAAATATTAGAAAGATAGATAATATAGTGAGGAATATATATATTTAAAAAATATTTGATGAATACACTTACTTATAATTAAATTTAGAATTTTAAGAAAAATTCCCGTTGGAAACGTATTTTGAAATAAAAGCGCGAAAAAAAAAATTAAAAAATAACTCCTCCACAAACATATGAAAAAGAATATCTTTTAATATATATTCGTGTTGGTTTCATTTTATATGATTAACTCCATTAAAAGATATAAAGGTCGTAAGGTGGTTTTATATTTGCACTACCGCCACCGAAAGGGTTAAAAGAAATATATTGGCGTAAGATTATTAATTTACTACTCCTTATTCAAAATCTGTTTACCCCATTTGATAATAAAACGAACCAGGTGATGGCCTAATAAATAGTCTTATATGGAATAAAAATTTTAAAAATAGTCGCACATGTAGGGAATATTTGAAATGAAATTTCTTCTGAAATAGGCAAACTTCCCTTAAATTTCTTAATTTATATAAAAGTAATAAAATCTCTTATATTCCGTTCAGTAAAACTTTAGGTTTAACGGAGGAAGGGTGGGAGGTGGTGGCAAGGAGAAATTTCTCCCATCCCATTCAAAAATATATAATTTTAAGCTAATAAAAAATCTCCTTAGCCCCCTCTCCACAAAATTTATGAATATATCTTAAGCAATAATTTGAAAGAATGCAATATACATAATTTTACTAATGATCTAATTATAAATTATACTAAGATTGTATAAATATATATGGATTTTATTATATTTTGTACAAACTATAAATAAATTTCCTATTTGTTCCAGACAGCTTATTTTTTGATACCGTCTCTTGATAGCCAATTTCGTATACTTTAAATAATGATAAGTTGTTTTTATTAAAATAAATTAACCTATCTACAAAAATATTTTCGAGCTATATTTAATCTAAGGAAACCCACACGTCAAAAGAACGGTCTGGAGGTCGAGGCCTCCCAAAAATTTATTAATTTTCCCTTCTCCCTTAGAAAATCCTGTCTACGCTCATGAAAACAATAATGTGTTCAATTTTAATTGGGGAAAAATGGCGAAAAAACACTTTAAATAATTAATCATATCTTTTTTTTTATCTTGTAGGTAGTGTAAACGGCTCGTTTTGAGCCGATTTTTAAAAACGGCTAACTCAATATTTCATCCTGAAAAATTTTACGCAAGCCTGAAGATTTTGCTCATAGAAGGAACAAAGGTCTAGACATTTATTAAAGAAATCTCGAGACTTATACACTATTTTTGGGTAAAATATTGAGTTATCCGTTTTAAAAATCGGCTCAAAATAAGTCGTTTAACAACACTATTTGTAGGTGAGGGATTGTGCTACACATTGATCTACAATTCTTAAATATTAATTCTAGTTTATGAAAAAATAATAAGTATGTATAATTATCATAAATGAATTATTTTTAGTCAATTATTGCTAGATTAATAATAATTTATTCATATATTTCATAGGAAAATAGCTGTCATGAGATAAAAATGTATGCATGCTTTATTTATAACTTTGTCGCTGAAGTTATTTTTATTTAGGGCTAGATTTTATGATTATTTCTAGTTTACTTAAAATTTGGTTTAAATTTAAAAAAAAACAAGATTTAATCAATAAAATTAAATTTTTTTAGTAAATGAATGCAAAATTTTCGATTTTTATAAAACTCATTATATAGTATATAATATCATTGTTATCATAAATATATTCCATGTAAAAGATTTATTGTCAATCTTCTCTCGCGTTGAAGTAAATTTTCTATCTACTTAACAAATCCATTAGTATATGTAAGAGAAAAAAATTCACAATTTCTTCTTACTATGTATGTTTCATGAAATGAAAAATTACTGATGCTATAAAGTGAATATCATTCATTTTACCTTTGGCTAATCTTGATTGGCAATCCATATATATTTCTACTTCACTAGGAGGGTATGACTAACTAGTTTTTATATCCTGTGATTCTTAAAATTGTCATCACATCGTTCGGTATTAAAAAAATGACTATTGATTCTATATCATGATATATTATTTTATAAACTTATTTTATTTTTCATTATCTTATAAATTATAACTAAAAAATATTTTGTGTAATAAATTTATAAATGCGAATAACCTAACATGTCTATAAAATTTTAATTTCTTTGTAAAACAGAACAAAATCATTCAGCGTTTTATTTTCTAACAAAAGTCAATTTCATCCATTGCACTATTAGTAAGGCGGAGAACGAGGAGTCTATTATATATGAGATTGCTAAACTCAAAGGGATTGAGAATCTATGAATTTTATAAGAAAATATAAAATTTATATCTTAGAAAAACGATATTTGACAGTATGATATGATGTTATTGATAACCTTTATATGATTTTAAATTTAGAAACAAATAATTAATATCAAAGGCCCGGCCTTAAGCCCGGCCCGTATTTAAATGATTTTTAAATATACCCGGGCCTGGCCTAAAATTTTTTATTTCACCAGGGCGGGCCTCAGAATTTTTTTAAAACCTAATATTTTAAATTGCAATTATTAGCTATAAAAATTAAGAATAAATGTATATATAAAAAATCCCGGCCGGGTAGAAAATCGCCGTGCAAATGGTACTTCTATCTGCAAGTCTCTGGTAAATATTAATCTTATTGAATTTCCAAATTTTATTTTAAACAAAATATTTTAAATGAAAAATATTATAGAAATCGGGATCGGGCTAATCCTAGATAAATCAGGACGTTTAGCATTTAATGTGCTTTTCTTTTAAATATTTTTTTAAAGTTAACTTTTATCGTTTGAATTGAATAAAATTGACGAAATATTTAAAGGTTTCTAAATAACATGCATTGAATATGAGGAATAAATAGAAGAGATATCAAAAAAATTGAGCTATCAAAGCTCAAATCTATGTAAATCCTACTTTCCTAGCCTACTTGGGCCTTTGATATAAACAGTAAAATTCTCAAATTGAAAGAAAGTATCAATAATTTTTTCATAAAAAAAAGAAATAACTTTAACAGTGCATCTAAATTCAATTTTTTTTTGCATCTGAATTTGCACAAGGCATAGAATTATTATGACTAATTTGGTGTGACATTGTAGCATTGAGTGCCTTTTAATGGCATTACTGAACATGCATTTTATACCTTAAAAATTTGTTTATATTGTTGAGTCATTCAATCTTCATTGTAGGAAATCAAGCATATATATGCTCTAAAGGTACAACATTACACAGTGTGTTAATCCCCGAAAATAATAATATGATGGAATAAAAAAACATTAATCCACAAATTATTCATATCCGTTTTCACGGAACGGGGATCCGATCATATAATGAATCCCAGGCCGGTGCAAATAGGGTTGAGCGGGTAACCGCCATCGATTCGCCAAAATTAAACAATATTAGGGGCCGCCAAATTTTGTAATTTTCATCAATTATTTTTAGCCTCTTGAAAAATAAGAATTTAATTTTGTATGTACTATATACAAGCAAGACATTATTCTTTTTCGTAAAAAATCCATGTATGAATTTTGAAAAAAGGTTTGGCATGTCTAGCCATATATGTATTATAACAAAAAATTTGATTTATATTTTAGTAAGAAAAAAAAACTTAATTTATTTTTCGTTAAAAAATTTTAGTTTTTTTTCAAAATTTGATATATATTATTCGACCACATTCGTCGTATTAAGAATAGTATGGACCATTGTACAATGCGTGGAAATCGTGCTGCAATATCATGTAAATTGCATAATAAGATTTTATGTTTATTAATGCCTGTCATCAAGGCAGAAATAAAATAAAATCATATGCGCGAGAATATGTTTGGTGGCCTGATATGAATATGGAAAAAAATTATAAATGTGCTCCATGTTATACGTGTGCCTCCATGCTCCATAAAGAAGGAGAGATGTTTCCAGCAGTTAAAGCTCTTTAAAGATCATTTTGGATCTTATTTAATATACCAGAATTGATAAATGTGCCTGAAAGGGAGCTAAAGGAAAAATGTTGTAAATTAAATATTTTATTTACAGATTAGTTAGAAAATTTATCCACAAAATCTACTAAGTGAATTAAAAATTTTAGTAAATATAATAAGTATCCCATAAAAACTCCATTGGGTTAAAGGAAACCTTACCAAATATATCCATTGTATTAAGGATTACTTTAAGAAAAATTATCAAAAAGCCTAGGTAAATTATGCACTTGACCACTAAAGGTCTCAGCACGGCGCAGGGTGAATACTACTTGTTTTTGTTTGACATGCTATCTTAATCATTATATTAATTTTTATTTGTAAAGATTTAGTACTTTTGTTTAATCTCATCAACTATATGACCGGATTCTTCTTTCTACTTATGTACATAAACTTTGAACATAAAATCAATATAACTGACAAAAAAATATGATTGACATATAGTTCCTATTCGCCTCAAATGTGTTCTTACTTTCCTCACTTTTGATAGATCTTAATATTACCATGTGTTATTATTGTACATTTTATGTCATCAAAGAGTTTAAAATTTCATTTGCTTTAAAATTTATAGCAGTAACACATGTTACGATGAAAAGTAGGCAGACCTACACTGGAGAGTGAAAAAAGAGATCGAAAAGTATTAAACCAATATTGGGTATAAAATTTGATAAAATTGGCCATTGGCGTTAACGAAAAAGCAACAATGCAAAGAATGTAGGCTATTTTAGGATTTTATCAAAGTTGTTAAATTCGCTACTTTTGAAATTATTTATTTTTTTAGCGGGCTCCTTTTTTGTTTTAAAAATATAATGAATATAACTTTATACATAAAAATTTAAATATAATATCATAACATAATTAATTATAATTTTTATGATTTATTATTTAATTATGAGATTGAAATATATTTTCAATTTGTAATTTATATTTTCAATTTGAATTATAAACCTAAATCATGTGTATTATTTAAAATGTCATCGCAAATGGATATCTAAATAGCTGAAAGTGGACGATGATATTAATGTATGGAAGATACCCGGGAAGAAAATGTTCTTAATAACAATACAAATTTCCCATTTCCAAAATTTGGAAATATAATAATATAAAAACCAAACCTGGCTATAAATTTATTTATTTAATGTAAAAAAATATATCCTCACTATAAACTCAAAAAACACCTAAAGGTAATTGTCATTTTTAAATTCTAATAGTAGATATTTTATAAAAATGTTCATGACAACAGTTTTACAGAAATAGAAAAACATCTAAATAATTTTCGTATAGGCGACTCTACATCCAAAGACCAATTCAATTCAAACCAAAATGATTAATAATGCTTATGTCAATATTTCTCAGGAACTGGCTGATAAAATTATTGTTGATTTTATAATTGACACAGTTCAGCCTATGTCCTTGGTTGATGATTCATATTTACCATGATGATTAAAATCCCCTGGTACAAATATGTCGCCAAACACTAATGAATAAGATAGCAGATAAAAGTGGTGAAAAACAGAGATGCTCATGCCATAATCTAAATTTAATAGCAACAATGGATGCTGAAGGAGCCTTAACAAATGAAGATTTTAAAAGGTATCAAGATCCACTTTTATGAATGTAAAACTCTATAGAATATGCAGAACAAATCTTCTAAAGGCTCAAACATACTTTAAAAAAAATTAGGCAGATATTTATTAACTAACCCCACTAGATAGAACTCAGTAAGCTCATACCACGCTATCAAATTAATAACATTTTTCTGGGTGAAGGAAGATTAGAAATGGATATTCTCTAGATCATGTTGGAATTCAATATATTAACGATGAAGAGCATTTATAAAAGAGCATAATAATTATTCAATTTCATATAATTTTAATTTTTGAAATTATGCAATATGTGGCTCTTTCCCTTGAAATTTTGGAAGGTTGAGGATAATATGGAGATGGGGTATTATGTTCCCACTTTAAGTATCCTAATTACAAAATTACAGAGATTGACTAATATAATCTTATGCCAGCCCCCAGTAGCTATGTTAAAAGGCATTGAGAGAAGGTAAATAAAATTTATATTGTTTTGATTTTGACTGAATAATTTATTCTAACATAAAGTTAAAATTTTTTAAAATTTATGATTGAGATATATTTTAAATACTCTATTTTTATAACGTTAAAATTCCCCAACCTATACAATGATGATAATTTATTAGCTGCAGTGATTCACCAAATTGGGCATATATCAATTCCGATGATGCTAAAGATCAATGTAATAGGCTCATGGTAAAGTTGAATAGTCTCATACCCAGGGTTGGGCAAATTTTCAGAAAATTGTATTCGGATAAGATACTTTATAAAATTTTGTATTTAAGATACAAGATACTAGTATTTTTTTTATAAAAAAGTATCTAATATACAAGATACTTTTTTTTAAAACTTTAAATAGTCAAAATCAAAATGTATAAAGCTTTATTTTCTTATCTATAATATAAATTTATAAAAAAATATTTAAAATAAATTGTAGAAAATAACAAATTTATTATAATAGATAATGCGATATTCCATTTAATAATTATATAATTAGTAAATAATAATAAATCAGCATTATTTTTTAATATTATTAATTTTTCAAATGATTTATCGTTCAATCTTTGACGATTTGGTCTATTAACCATATTAGCAAAGCTAAACAATCTTTCAACGGGGGCTGAGGAGGGTAATATTGTGTTATATTTAATAAATATTTCTTTTATATATTTATAACTATTTAACATATTTATACTCCGCCTGTCATCTTTCATATAATTTAGGACCTCTATTTCAATATCATTTATTGAATTATTAGAATTGGATGTGATACTTTTAAGGCAAAAGTAATCATCATCTTCATCAATTGAAGATTTGGTTGAAGTATTAATTTCAATTCTATACATTCATCATCATTGATGTCAAAGTCATTCTCTACAGCTTCCATAGAATATCCAAACTCCTTGAAAGCTTTCTTAAAGTTAGAGCCGTTATCTGTAACAGTTGCTATAACTTTTTCGCAAAACCAAAGTCACGATGAATTTCTTTATTATGATCATCTTGAAGTACTTCAAAAAATTTGCCATTAAGTATGCTTAGTTTAAATTTATTGTTATAATTTTCGGTTGAAGAATCATCTGAAGACGAAGATAAACATATTATTCTATTTTCTTCTTCCATAATTTTAAAATAGACAGATATAAAACGATTCAAATATGGTAGTTCTAATTGTTAGCAAATTGCTATATGACGACCAACGTCATATATCAAAAATTATCGTAAAATATCTAAATTTTGATTAAATTTTTCATTTAAATCTTAAAACAATATCATTTTAAATTTTAATACTATTTAAATTAACCAATATAAATTTTTTTTAAAGTATCTGTATCTTTTTGAATACAAAGTTGGTTAAGATACAAATACTTTTAAATAATATGTATCTTAGATACTGGATACAAGATATTTTCCAAAATTTAAAAAAAGATAGAAGATACAAGATACATATCTTAGATACAAATATCCGCGATACTGCACAACCCTGCTCATACCAAACTAGTTATAACCACAAAAATGACTTCCACTGATTATTTTTTTTGAAATTAAAGATAATATAATAGAAAATACCCTAGATTTTTTTAAATCTGAAAATTCTCAAATGAGTATTTTTGATAATCTTTCTTATATTAAATATATGTATACAAAATTATATACTGCCTTGCCCTCAAGTGCTAGTGTTGAGAGATTATTTAGTAAGGCAAAAATTATACTTTCTGATCATGGCTCTAGACTTGCAGGTGATAATATTGAAATGATTTTATTATTAAAATGCAAATAAGATATCACCATAAATATTTATTTTTATTGCATAAATTTTTTTATAATCAAAACTAATCATATTTAAATATTATAAATGTTGATTTTTATATATTATTTACTATACAGTTACATAAGCAAAAAAAAACAAATTTGTTTCTAAATTTTTTTTATAAAAAGTAGCTAAAGCTATTTTTAAAAAATAGTAGCTAAAGCTATTTTTAAAAAATAGTAGCTAATAGCGCGCTACCTTATTTTTGATGAGTGGCGATACTGATAGTGCGCTAATAGCATAGCGGTAGTACGTAACAACTGTGGATTTTATATCAGTATTTTTTTAAATCTAAATAATAATATAAATTGTTTTTTATTGTATAATATAAAAAAATAAAAATGATATGTTGTATATTTTTTTACATAATAATGTACCAATGATTCCATTTGTAGTTATTGTTACATTTCTATATAAACATCTGGAATAAACTTTTTTTGAAATGTGTTATTTATGTCTTGTTAATAAATTTTAAGAAAAAAAGTCAGGTGCAAAAGGGTTTTTTTTTATATTTTGAGATATTTTTTTTATAAAATTTAAAAAAAAAATGTTTTTAAAAAAATATTATAAAAAAATACTAAATTTTCCAACAATTCAAACTTGCCAAAAATTTATTTAAAAATGCCAAATGCATTAATATTTGTTATTGGTATTAGGCCAATATTTTAAATATTACTAACTCCCGTGGTCAGTACCAATGATAATTAACTCTCATAAATCAATTTTTGTTTAGTATATTATGCTATAAATTTATAAAAAAAAAAATTTAAACCAAGGCATTGTTAATTTTTTCTTCATCCTTATTTCTTTTAATTTAATTAGATTAATTGAATTATAAATAAATAAAAAGATAATAATTGGAACCCTGCATTGGGCATATTTTTTCAGGCCTGATCCAATCCAAATAACTTTTTTTGAGAGATCCAAGTCTAATAAAAAAATTTAATTTATAAATAGGCCTATATCCAATTCAATTTTTTTTCCCCCCAATGAATTGTTAAAAAATCTTGGTATATCAAAGAAATCAAAAAGTGGTAAGCATTTAAACATAATAAACAATTTTGTGTAAATTCTTGTTAAAATCCATAAAACATTAGGAAAACAAAAAATATAATTTTTGAGGTCATAATATAATCCAAAATAAATTAAAAAATCAAGGTCATAGTATGAGAAAATGCCAGTAAAGTCTAGCCAATCTGAGATTGGATTCATTCATGCAGGGCTCTAATAATTATTATTTCTTTGCTTTTTCTATTTCAATATATAATACTGGATATTAAATCTTATAATATAAGATTGTTTCCATATTTTATGATTACTTACTCTAAATTTGAAGAAAGGTTTGAACAATCATTTGGATATAAAAAGTAGCCAAAAAGTTGTTTAGGAGTACAAATTGTAGTTAATGTGAGGTGACTACCATAATTTGCCATTAGGAAGGAGGATAACAAAAACATCATACTATAATATTTAGTATTTTCTGAAAATACAAATATTAACCTATAAATACAATATATTAAATATTGAGCAAAATATAAATAACCTTTTAACAAAGTTAAAATATTTTTTTATATAGGAATTAGCCATTATGGAATTATTTGAGTTAACTTTTGAATTGAAATCCTTTAATAGGTTTTTAGATTCAGCTTCAAATTTATAACTTGATTGAAAAGTTTCTCTATTATTGTCAGAATTAAATTTAAAGCTTACATTATCATTAAAAGATATAGAGAATTTTTGTAGAAACCATAAAGTTAAAACATTACAAAAAATAAATAAAAGATTTTCACTTAATAAAATCTCCATAAAACTGTAAACATATATTTGAAACATAAGATGGGTTATAATTATATAACATATTAAAATCAATCTTATATCTTTATAATTTATATTATATTTTAAAATTATTAGTTTATCATAATTTATATTTAAATTATGTATTTTATATCTAAAATCAAAATATAAAATAAAGATTAATAAAAATTTAATAATACATATTAAATATAATAAATAAATATTTAAATTAGATAAGAAGAAAGCAAGGATTATTAATAAAAATGCTACAAAAATTATCTTAAGACTATCAACCATATGATGATTTTAGGATACATGATTCTACAATATTTATATAATAATTTTAGGAATTAGTAACTATTTTTACTGCCAACACTCACTATCGCAAGCCGGATCTGTATTACTCCAATCCATCTAATTAGGCTGTATATAATAATTAAATATAATATATATTCATTGATATTAGAATTTTTGTTTTATTTAGCATTATGCGCGTATCCTAAATTAAGTAATTTATTTTCAATTTTTTAAATGTTACATTTTGTTTTAAATTAACTTATTTTTTGGGGTAATTTAAATCAAATTGTTATTTTATCTTGAATTAACTTTTATTTTTCTTACGTCTTTATTTTACCATTCATAACTATAGTAATGTAGTCTACGATATTTATTAATAAGCACATTGAAAGACAACGTTCAATATATATATGTCAATCGGTGCAAATATTATTCACCATACTTTTCTAACCTTATTTTCTATACTTTTTTATTCTTGGATTTTCTTCATATACAAAATATTTTTAATACTCCTTTATTTTTCTTTATTATATATATTTTTCACGATTTTACAACAAAAAAAGAATAATCAATACACGCCAATTTTTACAAAATATAATGTATTTCTTTTTTAATATTATTTTTTTATCAATTATTTTTATGTAATATATAAATATTTATTATAATACAACATGTACCCCTTTTTCAAGGTACTACATGCCACATTTAACCGTAACTATAATTTAAGAATATATATTTTTTTAGATTCTTTTGATTCAAAACTTCGCATCATTGAAATTCTCTTGATATCGACCTTGAGCCAAACTTTATATCGTTGATATTTTCTTATATCGACATTGAGCGAAACTTCATATCGTTGATATTTTTATAACGTTCATTTCTGACGTATACGACTATCTGATATTTGATTAAACGATGGTTTTGGTTGTTATCAAAAATTATCCTGATTAATGCATCATTGGTCAGTCATGATCATTCTATTTTAAGCTTGATATCCTTAGCATTGTTGAAATTATGGTTAATGTATAATAGACCTATTGCATCATTGTAATTTATTGAGTGAGCATCATTGTAATTTATTGATTTGATTAAACAGAATATTACACAAAGTAAGTAAGTCAGATCTATTGCATCATTGTAATTTATTGAGTTGATTACACAGAATATTACACAAAGTAAGTAAGTCAAATTTTTTTTTTAACCGCTTCAACTAAATATTCACAATACCCTTTTTTTTACATAACGAACAATTAAACAAAAACAACCTTTTTATTTTCATTTTATTGTTTTTTTTATACTCTTACCATTATATTTTCAATTATTTTTCTATTTTACTACCAGTTGATTTTTCGCAATTTACGTTTCTTCTCTTCTCAATACCGCTCACATTTTTATAATTTTCTAATTTTACTTCTTAATTCTTTAATAATTAATTACTTTTATAACAACAATTTTATATTACAACCTTATTACAATCCCAACTCATTCATCTACCAACTATAAATAACAAAATAAAATAATTTAAACTTCAACATCATACCAATTGACCCACATATTTTACTTCAACATTTTATTAATATAACGTTTTTTAAAAAAAATTAAACAACTGCAATTTTCTTATTAACAACACTAACAATAACAATCCAATTTTGCGATATTTAATATTTAAATTCCACACGACTATCAAATTTTCAACTCATCTAGCACTTTATAAAATTGAACATATCAATCCCAGTCATCTAACAATTAACAATTGTACTAAGCGATCCAAAATCATTTTATCCCATAAATAATTTCAGAATATATTATTCCACAATTCCCTCAGATAATAAGCATTTACAATCAACAATTGGACTAAGCGATCCAATTTATCTAACATTTTACAATTGGACTAAGCAATCGATAACAATTTTACCCTAAAAAAAAATATTATATAATTCTACAATTCTCTCAGATATTAGTGTACTATTCTCATACATATTCTTAAATTTTTCCTTTAATTCTTTCCTTCTTTTTTTTTAACTACATTTTCATACCCTTTCTTGTTCTCAATTATTTTCAATGCTTTTTGACCCCTTTATTATCCTCCACTCTCTTTTAAACAAATATCTACCTTATAATCTACGAAACAGCCCAATTTTTCATCAAATAAATTTTTATACTTATTCCTTAAATCAATCATATCATTCCTTAGTAGAACTAAATTTTCTTCTCCTTCTTCTACCACACATTTTTTAATTTTTTTCTCACAAATTTCACCGGAAAATTTTTCGATACAGGTAATTTTTCCCTTTCCAAATTTGAGTCATATAAATCTCATCACATTTTATATAATTATTCACATCCTCAATTTTTCTGAAACTATTTCATTGTATATTTCCAAATTAAAATTTTCATCATCAATTCCCAAAATATTATCAACTTTCATATCAACCGAAATATTATCAATTTCCAAGTCAATATTTTTTTCAATTTTTGGATTTTCCAAAATATAATCAACTTCCAAATCAACTAAAATATAATCAATTTTCTAGTCAATATTTTTTTCAAGTCAATATTTTTTTCAATTTCAATATTAGGTATTATACTTATGTCAATTTTATTATCCAAAATATCAAGTTTTTCCTGACCCATTTTATCACTCATAATTTCTTCATTTTTCTGAATTTCCTCAGAATTATTTAATACATTTTTAATTTCACCACTTTTTAGTGTTTTATTTTCCAAAAATTCATTTTCTTTATTGTCACAAATTCTTTATTATTATTTATCATATTCTCAATTTTAATATTCTCTAAAATTTCTTTCATTAATTTATTTCTCAAATATTTTACATATACCTCTTTTACAGATTTTTTTAATCCTTCAATATTTTTATTATCAATTTTCCCTTGAAATATATTCAACAAAATATTTTCTAATCCAAAATTTGATATCCAATTCCATCCCAAAACTGTATCAATTTTTTCTTTCAATATCCAAAGATCCAAATTTATTAATCCGTTATTTATTAATACCGGTAAATTTACTTTTCCCATTACCATAATTTCCGATATATTCAATTGTTTAACTCTCATTTTATCTTTAATTATTGTATCATTCGGTCATAATTTGTAAAATTCATCATACCCCATTATAGATATTGTTGCCCCTGTATCCAATAACATCAAAAATATTTTATTTCCTACATTCACTTTTACTCTTGGACATTGATCAAAATTTTTATTATCTTCCAACTTTAAAATAGGCAAATTACTAATTTGTATATTCTTTCGTGTTTCATTTTCTAACATATTTTTACAAATCCCATAAATGTTATTTACATTTTCTTCATTTTTTCTTTCTATTTCATTATGATCATTTACCTTATTTTTATCTATATTTTCCTTCAATTGATCCAACTGATTTTTTGATGTAACTCCTCCAAATTTTTTTATTTCACTATCATACAGTCATCCTACTGTACAATCTCTCGTATAATGACCAATATTACGACATTTAAAACACGTTATGTCTTCTACATTTCTTTTTTCGTAAATATTATTCCCTTCATTTTTTCTATATTCTACTGCTGGAAATGCTTTGGAATTTCCCTGTTGATTTTTATAACACTTATCCTGATTATGCCCAAACTTTCCACAATTTTCACACGCCGCTGTAATTTTTTATTTTTCATTTAATAATTTATATGCCGGAACGTAACATCTTCAGCATTATGTCCTCGGTTTCCACATCTTTTGCAAATTACATGTAACATTTTTTTATTCATTCCTTCATTACATTTTCTGCTTATATGTCCATATTTTACACAATTATAACACGTTATATTTTAACCCGTTCCACTATTATACCTTTGATTTGCTTCACTCAATTTTTTAATTTCCTATTTCATCTCTTCAACACTTTTAAGTATTCCTATTTTTCTTTTTCTTTATTTTCCCTTTCCAAATTTTCTTTCTCAATTTTCCTTTTATATATATTTTTAATCTCTATTTCTTTTATTACTATATCCTTTATCATATTTATTATCTCAATTTCATTATTTTCATTTCCTATATTTTTATTTTCCGTATCAATTTTCATTTTTTTCTTTTTTAAAATATCTAATAATCTCTATTTTATAAACATTAATTCCAAATTTTCTTTTTTTAGAATCTCCAAAGATATCTGTTTTTAATATTCCATACTTTTCATCATTTTTCATCAAACATATTTCATTATATAACTTTTCCATTTTATCATTTTTTTCATTTTTTTCTCTATCATTTAATTTAACAATCTTATTTTATTCGTCTTTCTATTAAAATTTCTTCTTTTATACCAAATCTAAATACCTAATATTAGACTTAAAACTAATATTAAATAAATACATTGTGAAAAATTCCTGACTTCAATATAATTATAAGCTTTTATCACTTTTTTATTAAACATAATTATTTTTTTAAATTTACCTTACAATTTATTCAAATTTTTGTGTAATTATAATAAATTTATTAAAAATTTTATTATATAAATCTTTAAAATTTTAAATGAAAAAAAATACGCTAAAGCTATTATTATTAATAAAATTGTTATAAAATACATTAAATATACCTTTGATCATTATGAATTTTTCCTTTTTTTAAAAAATTTTAGCCGTCATATAAGTGGTAGTAATTGGTTATGGCAAATTAATTATCACTTTTCTAACCTTATTTTCTATACTTTTTTATTCTTGGATTTTCTTAGAGTCAAATACAAAATATTTTTAACACTCCTTTATTTTTCTTTATTATATATATTTTTCACGATTTTACAACAAAAAAAGAATAATCAATAAATGCCGATTTTTATAAAATATAATATATTTCTTTTTTAATATTACTTTTTTATCAATTATTTTTATATAATAAATAAATATTTATTATAATACAACATATACTATATTACATTCCAGAATTTATTCCGAAACCTCTCTCTGGTGCAACTCCCATCGGTCCCGCAATTGATCGGCATGTTTCATCATACGACCATACTCCTTTCGTTTTACAATCTTACCTGGTATTCATCCCTAACCAATCGCTTTCTTTACTCAT